GAATCTCTGGCCCCTTCTTCAGCAGAGATAAACAGAACAATTCACTGGGAGGCAACAGGAAACTTTTTGTTTTGTTTTCCCTTGATAAATGGGATTTCTGGCCCTCCTAGTTAATTTAAATACACTTTCAAAGTTTGTTGCTTTTAAGACAAAGAGAAAGAAAGATAGTCTTGCACTGGCAATTTGAACAGTTTATATTTTTACTATGTACACTCAGATTTGTATTGAGCATTCGCTCCTGGCTTCAATATACTTCTGCTTCTATCACAGGAAATAAAAGTTGCTTCCAATCTTCACAGGAGTTCAGTTATAACAATACTTCCCTACTTATTGAAAGTCCAAAGTCACCGTCCTTTTAAAGAGGAAGTCCGGATTAGCAATTTGGTGAAGAGGGAAGAGGGAAGGAGGGGCGGCAGGGGGGAAGCAGTCTGTTTCACACCCTGGCTGCAAATGTCTGAAGACTGACTCACAACTTCTGGTGCTCACCGCCCTGCAAGGATGGGATGAATCTCACCATCTCACTGCCCTGCAAGGATGATCGTTGAGCCCACCCGGTACTGGCGAGCCCCACCGCCTTACCTTCTAGTAAGGATGGGTCAAGTCGCAGATCATTGAGCGCTTTTGAATAGAGTGCTCCTGAACTTAGTGCCCACCAAGGAATGAGTTCTTTACTGGGAGGAATCAGAGATCTCCAAGTACTTTTGAATTGAGCGTTTGCTGAGGAATGGAGCTCTTTTCTGGCTTGCTGGCAAGTCTCAGGTGTTTGGCTTTCCACCTCGCCGGCTGGACCCGCAGGGATTAGAGGGCTTGTCGCCTGGCACTGCCCATGCCCGCTGGAGCTCCTCACACTGCCTCTACTGCTGCCACCATCTTGCAGATGCAATATGAGGATGCTCGTCACTGATCAAATTCAATCTTTACCTTCCTTCAATAGTATTCTAGGTGTCTCTTTTGGTGTTTCATTTTCAAAAGTTCCTTCAAAAGCTAATAGTCTGGGATTGGTGCACTTTGAGGCATAAGGGCAAAAGTCCCTGTGACATTCTAGGCAATGATCAAAACATCAGTCAAACTGCCCATTAGATACTCAAGAGAAAAACAGGCTCCTCTGGATGACATTAGCCATCTGGGGAAGACAAATATCTTCCCTGATCTAGAAGTATTATTTGTAAGGAATGATAGAACATTTTATTAGATATGGAAGAATGTTACGTGATGGATGGATGGATGATAAATAGGTAGATAGATACAGAGAGAGAGAGAGAGAGAGACAGGCAGACAGACTGTAGATAATAGAAGATAGATAGATAATAGAAGACAAACAGAGAGAAAAATTTGTGTAGATATGAATGAGTTAATGGAGGAAACCCATGAGAGACAGCTACATAAATTATTATTACTTTGGCTGTAAGCACACATTACATGAAAATGTTTCATTTTTCTGGCTTTGTACAATAGGTGAACCCAACCAATTCTGCTCTGTTCATCAAATAATGGTTAAATAAGTTGTGTGTGTATATGTTCTCATTTTTTTCTCTTCCTTGCTCACTTGCATAGGATGTCTGTCATGGCATCCTTTGTTGTGAGAATGAATGAGAGTTGCTGTGTGGAAGGCACAAGATGTGAAGCCTTGGTACCTATTATAGGTCTTAAAACACGAGTGTGGCAATAGGAATACATTTACAATTTGTCTTGGGTCTATGATTTCCTATCATTGAAGTTTCTCTTCAGAAACAGAAGCTCATACTCAGCTTGCATATGTCAACTGATATGAGAATTTTATTAAATATTGACTTGGTATTTAAGCCGCTAAGATAATGGACAATAAACCAGTATATACAGAGTTTTTCAATTTTGCTTCCCAAGGATCCCCCTTCCTTCCTTCCTTCCTTCCTTCCTTCCTTCCTTCCTTCCTTCCT